ATTAATACAAGATCGATTTTTGTTGTTTCAGTAGATCCGGTATAGGAAGGGGTGGGATTTCGAGTGTTTGTGTTTTTGTTAGTTTGTTTTTTGTTGTGGATTATGTTTAAAAATAATAAAAAAGACTTTGAAAAAGAAATGACCAAAGACAACTAATTAAAATTGGATGATTCCAACTTTTATCACTGGATCAAATTAAATCCAAACCTAAACTGTGACACAAGAATGTTCAGAGTTTAGTTTAAAATCTTCAGATCTTAAAATCGTTCTACGTCATAGATGATGTTCAGAGTAAAACGTGTGATGACAGAACAACATGTGACACAGACTCACCCACAATCCAACGCTGTTCCTCGGATCAGAATTAACCACCTTCACGTCCTCCCACAGGATTCGTTCTGGGCCCCAGTACAGGATCTGTCCACGGGTTTTGATTGCAAACACCAGCAGGATGATGAGGGCAACACACACCAGGAAACCCAGGACGATGGCTATGGCCTGCAGGAACAACACAGTTCGGGTCAAACAACACCTCACTGACGTTTGACAAACCTCAAACTGCAAACTGATGAGTCCTGAGGAAACAGAAGCATCATTATGAAGACAGATAAATTTGTTTATCTTTGACCTCCAACAGTTTTATTTGCATGTTACAGAACATGTAAGTCTGCAGGGAAAACAGGAAGTAGTGACTAAAAAAGTGTTAAAAATAAAAATCTCTAACATCTCTGACCCTCCAGCACAGATCTCACCAATAATATCTGCTCAGCCGGCCCTTAAAGCCAGAATTACATCATTTATTATTAATAACAGTCAGAACTAAAGCAACAGTAATCCTTGAAGGAACGTGTGTCACCTGCCACCCTTCATCCAGAGTTAGAGCCATTTAATCTAACTGGAAAGATAATGTTACCTCACGTTTTAAAATTATTGTTTTTCAGTGAAACTCATGGATGGTACCGGGTCTCAAGGCTCTTTGGGTGACTGAAAGCAATCAAACACCTGTCTACCAGGTGAGCCCAGGTAAAGGAAACGACAACGAGGTATGAAAACACTGGATGTTTGTGATGGCTGCTGTGTGAAGAGAGCTGAGGCTGATTCAGAACAGACAGGTCCATCCAGGCGGAGGCGATCTGAGGAATCCTGTCAGACACATTCATCACATTCCCAGATTTGCAGCCCTGGATGGTAGGTGRATGGCCACCATGCCCTAACAAGACTATGCAGTCAGCAAGGAGTGGGGGAGGGGAGGACAGTCATGGTCTGGGCCAGAATCATGTGAAGTGAGCTCCTTTAAATTGCCTGTGACATCAAATTTTTGTAATAAATATGAACGCGTTTTTGGAAACATTGATGATATTACAAAAACCAAACAAAAAGCACACTGCTGAGATGAGCAGTTGAGATATTTTCAYGTACAGGGCCCCGAGACAACGTATGTTGTGACTTGGCACTATATAAATAAACTGAATTGAATTGAAGTAACAGGAAGTGATGTCAAAGGGGTATTTCTGCATGTAAACAGAGCATTGCTACAACAGACTGTAGAGAAGAATCTGATGTTTGAATAGATTATTTTAAGTCAATCAGAGAGAAGAAGAAGAGTCAGAGTTTACAGTGTTTCAATCATAGACTTTAATATCACTAGACTGAGCCCCGCCCACATCATACACTGGTAGTGTCTGTGACAGCATGGAGGAGCAGAAACAGTTACACCTGTTCTTGTGTTTTTAAGCCCAGTAAGCTGTGGCAGAAAACTTGGACCAGGTTGACTTCAAGATGTAGAAATAATACAGATTTTTTACAAGTGAGTAACAGAAAGTATTATGGTTCATCAGTGGAACATTTGGTTTTAAAGACTACATGTCTTAATGAGGAGTTGAGTCTAAAGTCACACTCAGGTGGTGCCTGCCATGTTCTCATGTTTGCTCAGGTAATAACTTTAAATGAAAACTAAACATGAATGGAGACAATGTTAGGATAAAAAGAAACCAGTGTTTGTATTTGAGGCACAAAGTGATTCTTCATTGTTCCTATAAAGTTCTGGGGTCGGA